AATTTTCTATAATCTTGGTGCCAACAAATCAAACTCTTCAGCATGAAGGAGACAACATGGAGGAAGCTAACTCTTCCTTTGCTTGTGCCAGGATCTAGATTTGTTGGTACAGGAACTTTTGCTAGGTATAAATCCATTTCTCAGTCCACTCTAAATGCATTTTCATTGCTATAACAAAAATACCTAAAGCTGGTCAACTAAAATGAAAAATGGTTTATTTAGCTTACAGTTTCAGAGGTTGGAAATCCAAAATCACGTGGGACCAGCTGTTTGTTCTCTGGTGAGGGCACCTTGGCTACATGACACTGCAGTGAGGAGGGCACAGGCTTTATGTAAGCCTAGCACAAGGAGGTGCCTTCGCTTTGTAATGGACCACTATGACTCGCACTACCTGGAGTCACAAGAAAACTCCATGAAGCCTCACCGAGGATAGGGCCCCCAAAACTAGACACCTTCCATGAGGGCCTTACCTCCTAAACGTCTCAGCACCTAAGCATTGCCAAGCTGAACTCCAAATTCCTGTTGGGAACCTCTGGAAGACTCAGGCAAACCCACCCAAACATGCTGTTTTCCTGTGGAAGCTATCTCTCATTATCCAAAGAGATTGTGCATAAAGCTTAAAGGAAACACTGAAACCTGGTTCTTCCAAGTCGAAACAAGTACAGATGTGTTCATTGCATCGCACTTGTAATAAATTTCCCAGTCAGCTACTTACAAACCTGTTAGGACTCGCAGCCCTTTTTGTTTGGTGATTTTGCCAGTGTTCCAGTGTTGCCCTGCACTGTTAGTGATTCTTGTAAGTCTATCAATTTTATCATAAATTTGATCCTATTTATATATCCTCAAGAAATCCCTAAGTGCTTTTGGCTTACCAGTTTTCCGGATTTATTGTATCTTATTTTTACATATCTTTTATGACTCTAATGTGAGTTGAAGATAAAGGAGAGGGGTGGGGGAGATGGCTCAGTAGAATAAGCGCTTCTCCAGCAAGCGCAAGGGTCTGAGTTCAATCCCTGGTTCCACCAAAACAAAATACAAAAAACAAACAAACAAAAAAAAGATAAAGGAGATATGAGTATATGCATGTAGTCAGTTTCATGTGACTGGAAATTATAACTAACACTAATACAAAAACTCACAACACATATTAATGATTTTATTGGGTTATGGGGTAAAATATACACAAAATATTAGAGTAAAATGTAACCACTTCTTAAAAACTAGAATCCAAAAGGTACAATAAAGTAAAATGGAAAGAAACTGAATATATGGAAACTAAACAATGGAGATGAGGGAAAGGAGGAAAGAATAGAAAAAAAAAGGAAGGGAAAAAATCATGCAAGTATATCTACAGGATAGCTGAGATGATTGCATTACTAATTTCCATCAGCTTTTTGAAAGTAGCAGTTAATGTTTAAAATTTCCATATTGACTAACTCTATATGCTAATATCTGGAGCAACTACACTGAAGACAGCATTGTGCAATATAAAAACCACAGCTGAATACCTCTCATCTTGTTCTAAATGTGCGCCGATTGTAATATCTCATCAATTATTATTATACTCTTTAAAATACATTAAAAAATCTAAAAAGGACTAGAAAAAATTAAAGTTTATTCAGAGGAAGTTCATGTTTAATTATTTGACCAATCTTGTATACCTATATCTAGTAATCTGAACTATAAATTAGATGATAACAGTATGTAATGTAACAACCCTTAATTTTCTATTCTTGTTTTGAAATTCTGTATCGTTTGTATTGTATGTTTCTTTGCTTCTATCTTTGTTATTTGATGTTTTTGCTCTGGCTCTTTAAAATAAAAATTTATCTGCATACAAAAAAGTATTTTCTGAATGATTATCTAAACAAACTTAACTATACATTTATTATTGAATCCTTAACATTAAGACAAATATTTAGTTATGCACTGAATCTGAAAATTGGGGAGGACAATTAACTAAAGTTTATGAGTTGAAGCAAATTAAAATCTTACTAAAAATTATCTTATATATTAAAGAAATTTAGCAAAAGTTAGTTCCATCTCAACTTTTCATCATAAGGAATCATATATATGATTCTCAACTTATAGTGATTGTATTTAAGATTTCTTTTTGCTCTTACTTCCTTATATGCAACTAGTTCAAACTTGCACTTGGAATCACGATCTCTTTCCGGACTAGCAGGGTGTAGCATCCTCCTCCCTTGTGATGCTGAGCAGCAGCTCTGAGTCAGCTACGCAGTCATAAGGGCAAACAACTGATGTCACAGTGTGCTGTGTTGTTAGCTGTGATGCTGTGATTAAGAACATAAATGTCTTTTCATACTTTGTCTTTTGATATTTTCAACTTATGATAGCTTCATTGGGGAATTACTTGATGGTAAGTCAAGTAGCACATATCTTTTCCTCTCATTCTTCTTAGGAATACAAATGAAAATGAAAATGCTGTATCTATAAAATCCTTAGAGTTTTATCTCCCCTAAAATTATCTGCTCATAAAGTTCTTGGGTCAATGGTACGTAAGACTTTTTCAAGTTATCCATAAGGTAAAGTGGATCAGAAATTTTCAGTGGGTTAAATCCTTCTTCCATTAATTGAAACTTCTGCAGTTTGAACGTCCCTGTTGTTTCCATTTTTTCCTGTAAAACAGTTAAGATGAGTGGAATAATTTATTACTAACATAATCATTGTATGTAAATAAAATATGTATCAATATAGACCATAATATTTAAATATAAAATTTTACAATATAAAATTTTTATATTTAGTAATTTTCATATAAATTATGAATATAATCAATAAACTGATTAGAAGTATATTTAAAACGCATAGCCAATATTTTAAATAAAATGCCAAAACAAAGTTATGTCCAGAAAATACTATTAGAAGTTAGGAGTTAAAAGCCGTGAAAGACAGCAGTTTCTTAAAATGTGCACACATATGTATTACACAGGGCAGAGTACTTTGGAGTCAGAACGTGTATGGAACATCTGAAAATCTGGGTTCCCCAACCTGGGACTCCTTGGTGAGTCTTCAGGGGCCTACAAATATTTCAAGTTTTCAAGGGAAAGCCAATGACAGATCATGGTCAGCACACAGACCAGCTTGAGGTAGTTGGAAGTTTCAAAAGTAATTTGTGATACATTCTTTTCAATCATATCATAATTTTTCCAAAGTGGGTCTTTCAGTGGATTCTGTGATGTAAATAGAGTTTGTCAAAAATCAAAGTGTACTATGAAATTAGCCTTCGTTCTGTCCAGTTCAGTCTGACTCAAGAGGCTGAAGGGCTGTGCGGTGCCCAGCTAACATCTTTTCAATAATTACGGTTATTCGAAAGTCAAGTAAAAGCTTTCTAAATTTAGCTATTTTGTCTTTTTCAGATAGCTGCTTTTTTTGCTAGACCCAAATACTTATTAGTTTGACTTAAATAGTGAATAAATAAATCTTTGGCTATTAATTTTGACTCAAGAGTGCCATAATAAAAATTACTAAAACTACAAAGAACCCCAAAAGTTGAAGAATATCTGCTTTAGGGATTTGAAGGACTGCAGCGTGTACCTCTTCGGGAGAGTTTTGGACATGGAAACCAACTTTGTGTAAATTAGGTGACCTTTCAGAGATCTCTAACTACTATAACATTCTATGAGAATTTGATACTTCTGAACAATTTAAGACTCAATCACTTTGAGTCACTTTGAGCCTCCTCCTTGCTCCTATCCCCTCTATAAGATTGTATCACAGAAGTGAATTAATCTGTGTAAGAGTATATGTTTCCTTTTTTCAGAATTTTAGAAGTTGAGCTGTGCCTGCCTGGCATGTGCAAGGACTTGGATTCGTGCTGTGCCAGTCCCAGAACCCCAGGCACCCGTGCTGGCCCCTGAAATAGGGAGTGGTGATGCACACCTGCAATCCCAGGGCTGGGGAGGCTGAACAGGAGAATCACTACCAGTCTAAGCTGCGTAATGAGATCCTGTACCAAATAAATACATGCATGTATACATAAATAATTTTTAAAATTTTTTTAAAAAGCATATTAGAAGTTCTCTCTATATAATGTGTTTTTTTTTTTTTTAAGCCATTAACACAAGGTAGCATGCTGTGATAGTGTAGTGGTTAGTACTCTGTGTTGTAGCCGCAGCAACCTTGGTTCAAAAAAGCTATCAGCACATCATTGTTTTCAAGTGAATACTTTAAAAAATAGATTTCAGGACATTGGGATAGACAGGGATTTATCTAGACAAAACCTACACGCATGGGATGCAAAACCAAAGATAGGCAAATAGGACTATATCAAACTATAAAGCTTTTGTACAGTAAAGCAAACTATAGAAGGAAGAAATAAAATACAGAATAAGAGAAAATATTTGTAGTGTACATCTGAATAGGGATTGATAAGCCCATATAAGGAGCTCTAAAAACTCACAAAATGGGAATAATAATAACCTGATCTTAAAATAAGCAATATAAATACTTTTTTTCTTAAGCGAACACATAGAAATGGCCAAAAGATATATGAAAACGGAAGTTCTCAAGTCACTACTGCTCAGGGAAATGCAAATCAAAGCCACGATAAGCGATTATCTCACCACAGCAAGAATGGCTATTATCAAAAGACTAAAGTTAATGAGATCTGATGAAGAAAAAAAAAAAACGGAACTCTTGTATACTGTTAATGGGAATATAAATTAGTACGTCATAATGGAAAAGATTATGGAGGTTTATCAAAAAATTAAAAGTAGAATTACTATAAATTCCAGCAGTGTTATTGCTCCATATATATCTAAGGAAAACAAGATGAGTACAACTGAGAGACGGTTATACTCCCATGTTTATTGCTGTTCTGCTGATAAAGGCAAAGATGTGGAAACAATCTAAAGTGACCCACAGAAGATGACTGGATAAAAAAAAGAAAGTGACACATATGTACCATGGAAAGCCATTCAGCAATAAAAGGAATTAAATCCTGCCCCTGGCAACAATATGGACTTAACTGAAGATGATTGTGTTAAGTGAAAAAGACCAAATACATAAAAGCATCACATGATCTCATTTATATGTAGAATCGAAAAGAGTGGATCTCATGAAAGTTAAGAGAAGAATGGCGGGTCAAGGGCTGGGAAGATAGAGGGCACGGGGTGGGGAATGATTGATCACCAGGTACTGAATTAATATTGCACAGGAACAAGGTCTACAAATAACAATAATGTAATTTTCAAAAGTACATTTCAGAAAGATAGAAGAAAGGCTTTTGAAAGTTTTCACCATAAAGAAGTGATTAATGTCTGGGAATATAGATCTATATGGCCTGCTTTAAACACTTTAGTATATATACATGCTTCCAAACACCATATGGTTCTCTGCTAGTGCATACAACTGGATGGTTTTTAATCCAACAGTTCAAAGTAAAAATACTAAATGGCTTTGTAAAATTCCTTGTAGTGAATATATTTTCATTAACTTTGTCTTCATGATTGAACTAACAGAAAAATAAAATATTTACTGCTATAATACTTTGAAAAGCAACTTCAAAAGAAAGGCAATTACATTTGATTTGTACATCTTTTGCTATTTCCTAAGAATAAATTTTTGGAAGGTAAATTAATAAAACAAAATCTATTTCAATTTGTAAACTTCTGATCACATGTTGCCAAATTGTTTTCTAGAGAGGTTATGATGCTTTGTTTTATCAGTTGCAGAATCAAAGGACTCCAGTCATACTGTTACTAATTTTAAAATTTTTGTTAGTTATTGGCAGAATTTTCTACAGTCTTTTATTGCTTATGCAGCTCCTACACAATTATTTTTAACTATTAAGCTTCTCTTAATTTTTTTATAGATTTTTAAATAGTTTTGGGTCAGGGAAATAGCTCAGGGGAATAAGTGCCTTCCTGGCAAATGCAAAATCCTGAGTTTAATCCACAGTAAAAAAAGAAAATCATTTTGCTAATTTTCTCAAAAGTAATTTTGTTTGTATTGTTTTTATAGGATGTTTTATTACTATAATTAATTAAAAACTGTTCGGCTGCTGATTGTCCCACAATTTTGGGAGCTTTTGTTCTAATAAAGCAAATATTGTTATAAATAAAATGGCATTTTTAGATATTTTATGACTTTAAAATATTTTGTAACCTTGTGCAAGAATGCTATAAGTGTGTTACAGTGGTCCTTTGTGCAAATATATCTTATTTTTAATGCAAGTGACTTTTAAGCTTGCGTCAAAGAAAAAAAATTCTTAAACTATTATTTGTTCTGTTAACTTTCTATGAGATCAAAGTACATCATTCATGAGGTAGGGTGGAAACTCACAGAGAGGGTCTGGGCACAGCTGTAAAGTAACAGCATAAAGAACACCTTCAGGTGTGAAATTGTTTCTGTCTTTGCTGTGGTCATGGCTGCAGGAAGCTGCATGAGCAACAAGAGAGTACAGAGAATGCATGGACACAGAGACCACGTAAGAGCTCACGCAGAAGAAGAGGCATTCTGACGGAACAGGTGGATGACAGGGACATCCTGGTTGGGAGAGATGTGCTTTGGGCTAAAGCAGGTAAAGTATGTAAGATCATTTTTCATTACTTCTTAAAACTAGATGTTAATCCACAACTTTCTTCATGACAATTTCAAAGAAAATATACTACTTTTGCTTCATATTTCATTGCCATTAGTACTTCAGAGGACTGTTATGGAATTAAAAGGAAACGATGTATGTGTGAAATTGTTAAGGATGTTCAAATGACATCTGTGCTTAAGACAGTTTGGGGTGTGTATACCATTGGGTAAGCAGTAATCTGACTATCAGGATTGCTTGGAAAATTGTTTAAAAATGAATGTGGCAATACTTGCTGATCCATTGCTAAAAAGTATAATAACAAATGTATTCAGAAAGAGACTATGAGATTTGATGTTAAGAGAAACATATAACTTATCTTTGGGAGATTATACCTGAAGCAATATGTTAACAAGTGAATTACTGTAGCTAAATTAGTAAGCAAAATTTCCAAACTAAGTAAATTGTTTCTCAAAACTTAAAGGAAGACCGTTGGACAGACGAGTAAAGTTGAGAAGCAGGACTACTTAAAGCCAGTGGGCTTTGGGTCCTGCATACATTCTACAGACATCTTGCTATGTGCTGGATGGAGACTCACTCTTTACAAGCCAGACTCCCAAACATCTTGACAGCATCTGTGCAAAATATGACTTTGCCTTTCCAATTTTTCTGGGACCACAATTTTGCTTTGAGGTTCTAACAGAAGAAGCAGAAGAAAGAGGAGGGGAAAGGGGAGGAGGAAGGAAAGAACACAAAGATGAAGAGGAAGACGGTGAAGACAACAATGAAGATGAAGATGATGACGATGATGAAGAAGATGAAGAAAAAAGGAGAAGAAGGAGGAGGAGGAAGAGGAGGAGGAGAAGAAAGAGGAGGAGAAGGAGAAGAAGGAGGAGGAG